TTCGATCGGTGTTTATGTTTTTAGATAATGATTTGGTTATTAAAAAGAAATAAAATATTTGGTAACGATTTGAATTAAATGTGTTTTATAATAATTCGGTTTTGTGCCTTTGATGTCTATTTGTTTATTCGTTTTTAAAATGTCGATTTCAAATTAAAATGTTGTGGTTTTTTTATTTTGTGGAAAAATAATCAGTTCGTTCTTTTTTTAATACAATAAAAGTGCATAACATTTTGTATGCGCTGATTTTCAAGTATTATAAATGATTAAATTATAAATATATTATAATATTCAGATTAGTATTTTAAATTAATAGAGTTCTAATTTTCTAAATTGATATAAGTAATTCATATTCTAATTATATTTATAATACAGTTTTATCATTTTAATACAACTTAATTAATAAAATAATAATATTGTCTTTAAATATAGTATTAAATTAAAAATATTGTAAATAATATAGTACAATTGATTTTGAAATACAAAAATTTGTTGTTTGAATGATTGTTTATAGTTAAAAACATATTAAAAGTGTTATTTAACAAAGATCATTCTTATTAAAATGACTAATAATTAAAATACTATAATTATTTAATAAACTGTATAAAAATGATAACAAAAGATATATATTTTAAAATTAAATAAATGTACTTAATTTAATTTATATTATACTATTATTTTTAATACAAATAAATGAATGATTTTTTTAATTATATGTCCAATTGTTTGATAATTAGAAATTATTTATTTTCACAATTATTATTTAACATTTTAGATTGGTTAGCTTGAATCCAAACTTTGATGGAAATAGCATTTTATTTTACTTAAATTTGATCTAAGAGTTGTAAAGTATTTTGAATGAAACAGACCTTACTTACATTAATTAAGGAATACTTCTCAGGTACATCAGTTCCCAACTCGCGCTACTCTCTTGACATGGAAAATGTTAAACTCAGCAACCTCAAATCCATTTCAAAGTTTATTATTGGAGACAAAAGTACAATTTTGCGTGTTTATGGGACAGAGTCCATTACATTCGATCAACCAACAATTTATTTGCAAATAGAAGAAAGTGCTTTGAAAGGCATTACAGACGTTTCAACGACCAATTCAATCAACAAAAAGTTTGAAGAAATGTTTGTAACATTTGTGACAGGAAGTTTGAATCTTCAAGAAGTTATAATCAATAATGCCGAAATTGAGCTTGAAGTAATCAGTGATCACGACATATTATACACTCTAAAAGTGACTGCGGACTTGATTTCAATCCACTTTGAAAAGGAAAAACCAACTTTAACTATAAACAACTTAATCGCATACTTCAAACAAGGCAATACCGTCTTCACAAAATTTTTAATCATTGAAGATCACACAGTAAGCACATTACCCAATCAACCCGATTTCAAAATATCAAATTTTTTGAACTATGTCGTTAGTCTAATATCTGGTACACCGTATCAGGGTCCCCCAATACAAATTGAGATGGGTCAAGTCACTCTTTTTTTACCATTCAATTTGATTTCTGAAATGGGTGGGTTTATTAAACGCTTCCCATCCTTTTTTAAACAAGACAATACAATATTAACTCATGAAGAACGATCACCGTCACCAATTAATATACAAGAGAGCACTGACGATGATTCTAAGGCGTATAGTAGTACCCTTTCATTTTTTTATAAAGTCGGTAAATTATATGCAGGTCTTGTTGAAGGAGTATTTCCTTCCCAATTAGGTGTTGAAACGGAAGCTGATAAACTTCAATGTGATGACAAGAAGAATGCTTTTGGTGTACAGAATGTTAGGACGCCAAATATAGAAGTGACAAAAACAAAGTTAAATCTTATTATTGGTGATTCAGAAGGTGTTCATATCTCATGTATAGTGAACATAGCCTCCATTTCTTTATTTAACAAGAAATTAACAATTGACAGTGTCAAGTTTATGTTTAAAGATATGGTGGTATTGAGTATCAACAAAGACAACTTGGAATCAATATTTGGGACATTGTACGACAATGCTGAAAATGAGTTCACCATTACAACAAATGGATGTATTGATGTAACAATAGATGTTGACATCTTGGAACAATTTTTGAAGTTTTCTCAAGAGTTGTACAACACGATTAATGCAGTTTTTGATGTTTTTGAGACGTTGACTCAAAGTGATGAAACAAAAAAGAATGAAGACCAAAGTGGTGGTGACACACCGAGTGATGGTTCGATGAAAAAGATCATAAAATTCGACTTTGAGAAAATGCATCTTAAAATGAAGTCGAAAGGGTCTGAGTTCAATGCTGATATTACATACACAAACAGAAGCAGTTTAATATACATCTGCATTGCACCTGAAATGGAATTTCGGTTAAATTGTGACGAAATGGACATCACAATTAGTCAACATGTGAGTGTAATACACGCAATAAATATTGTGTTAGATGGCATGAGTGAAGAGATCACTAAAAGAGATAAACACTATGGGATATTCAAGTGTGGCGAAAAACAACAATTTAGAGACAACTCTGGTGTCGAGGAGATACCAAACGTGTCCAATTTTTTCCCTGTTATAGATACCAATCAAATGCAAACGTTCACTAAAATTATTACAAACGCAAAGAGGTATTTCCGAATTGGTGTTGAGTCCATTGAACTCAATTTTGACTTGAATACTGTTCATATCATTAGAAATGT